CATTTGGTCTGTGCCTGGGATCTGAACCTGCGAACCCTGGGCTGCCAAAGTGGAGTACGCAAACTTAACTACTATGCCACTGGGCCGGCCCCACCTTGTGTGTTTATTAAAAAAATAAAACAATACATACTTATTATAGAAGTTTAGTAAAATATAGAGAAGAAAAATAATCATGCATAATCCTACCAAAGATAAAGAATTAATATAGTTGTATATATATAATGTACAATATAGTTGTCTTTTTTATACAAAAGTTTACATATTTTACATGTAATTCACTAATCTAACTGGAATTTAGTGTATAAATTGTTTAGTCTTCTGTTTCTAAGACAGAGATGAGTATTAAATGAGTTCTTTAGTTTCCAATATGACAAATAAATGATATCCCAATATGAACTTAGTTTGGAGTGAGGCAAATTCCCAATCACTTTATATCCATTGTTGGGAAAATTCACAGGATTCTTGATATATACTAGGTTTATATGTTAAAACTCCCAAGAGGGGCCGGCCTGGTGGCGCAGTGGTTAAGTTCGCACGTTCCGCTTCTCGGCTGCCCAGGGTTCGCTGGTTCGGATCCTGGGTGCGGACATGGCACCGCTTGGCAGCCATGCTGTGGTAGGCGTCCCACATATAAAGTAGAGGAAGATGGGCATGGATGTTAGCTCAGAGCCAGGCTTCCGCAGAAAAAAGAGGAAGACTGGCAGTAGTTAGCTCAGGGCTAATCTTCCTCAAAAAAAAAAAAAAAAACAAACCAAAAAAACCAAAACAAAAAAACTACCAAGAGCAAAATCAATCTCTGCCAAAAATTTTGCTTTTTTCAAATATGGATAAGCTTCTCTGTTTAAATTTAAACCTCATTTTTTGATTCTAAGGTAAGAAAGTTGACAGATGGCTAAATGAGCAGTAGTCTGAGAAATATAATTTATAATAAATCTTCCAAGAAATGAATTTAAATGCCTGCCAAAAAGCTTCTCAAATAACTCTCCAAGCTTAAATTCCAACTTCTCCAAGAGACAAATGCAATAACGTTTTTCTCTTTTCTTTTTGAATAGATTTCATTTTCAAGAGCAGTTTTAGGTTCAGAGAAAAATTGTGCAGACAGTACAGAGCTCCCATATACCTACTGCCCCTACACATGCACAGCCTTCCCACGGTTATCATCCCACAACAGAGTGGTACATTTGTTACAATGATGAACGTATATCCACACAACACGTCAGTATTACTCAAAGTCCATGGTTTACATTAGGTTCACTCAGGGTGTCGTACATCCTATGGTTTTGACAAATGTATAATGACTTGTATCAACCATTACAATGTCATACAGAATAGTTTCACCATCCTAAGAATCTTCTGTGCCTGTTCATTCTTCCCTCTCCCCTAGCATCTGGTAATGACTGATCATTTTACTTACTTGCAATATTTTCAAGAGAACCTTCTAGGTCATTTAACTGGGAAACTTCTAAATGATCTTCTAAGAGCTGACTACAAGTCTCTCTGATAAGACAGCATGAAGTGTATTTCCAGGGGTCCCAGGGCTTTCCTGCTTCAAATCACAAAGTGTGCAATGCTGCAATTTGAGGATATAGTTATAATTTGGATTATTCTCTTTACATAATGAATTTTTATAAGGAATAAAATATCTGTTCCCACTTCGTGTGGCCAGAATCTGCAGAATTTGTGACTGTGCCAAGCCGGTTTGTAGGACACAGTGACCAGCAAAGCCACAAGCGTCCTATATTTAAATGTTTAGAAAGACACCCTGTGTATGATAGCTTATTTTCCCATAGCCAGGGAGCATCTTGGCTGCGAGAAGAGTAAATTCACTTTCTGTTCACTGGGGAATTAGAAAGAAGCACAGCACAACCAGAAGGACCTGCAACTACAATGGACAGCTGTGTGCTGGGCGCTTTGGCGAGAAGAACAAGGAAAGGAAAAGAAGATTGGCAACAGATGTTAGCTCAGGCGCCAATCTTAAAAAAAAAAAGAAAGAAGCATAAAAGCGTTGTTTTTTAATCATGTCAGTCTGGGCCTATTTTGAGACTGGATATTTAAGACAACTATCCTAGTTTGTCTTGCATTATTCAGTATAGTTTATTTAGTGCTTTATTAAATATGTTTTTAAACCTTTTTTGGGGGAGAAATAATTGCAAACTTACAGTTTGCAAGAATAGAAATAGTACCAAGAACACCCATACACTCTTCACCCAGATTCTGCACTTTTACTCCACTTTTTTTTTTATCATTTATATAGGTGGTATCTCTCTTTTACATATAGTATTTAAATTACATGTTATATATGTGAATTTTTTCTGCATCATTTGAGGGTAAATTATATAAATCATGGTCCTTTACCTCTAAATACTTCAGTGTATATATCCTAAGAATAGGAATATTCTCTTATATAACCAGAACCGTAAATTTAACTTTGATACAACACTTTTATCTAATTTTCTGTTCATACACCAGTTTTGTCAATTGACTCAATAATGTCCTTTATAACGTTCTCCCCTTCCAGTATAGGATCCAGTCTAGGGTCAGGTATTGTAATTAGTTGTTATATCTTTTTTGCCTCTTTTAATCTGGAACATTTCCACTGCCTTTTTTGTTTTAGAATATAGCCCCCGTCCTCTCTTTTAAAAATAGGATAGTAGTCTTTTGAGATTTGTCCAATATTTTCCCAGAAGTCTAGGGAAACATCACCCAATGGTCTGAGAAGCCTGCTTGAAGGTATACTGGAGAATAATGGTTTCCCCTTTTCTTCTGCCTCTCAAATCTCATACGTATCTCCACTGGCAGAATTTAACCTGGAACCATTAAAGGAAAAGTCCTTTGGAAAACAGAGTTCTAGGCATTCTCCCCACAGTCCAGAGGAGAACGTAGAAAGGGGTGACAATAACGCTGAGTTGACTGCTGACAAGGCAGCATACACTCATGTCTTGTTAGGACCTGGGGATAGAAAGGACAAGACAGTGAGCTCCCTGCCCTCATAGAGCTTACACTCTCCAGGGAGATCTATAAGTACTGTGAGAGAAATGCACAGGACTGTGACCAGGAATGACAGGTGTACTCTCTCAAGGCATGGACGCCTGAAAGATGACAGGGAGCCACAGTTATGCAAAGGGCAGGATGGGGTGGGCTTGTGACTGTCTAGGTAGAGAAGTGGCCAGGGCAGTGGGCCCCATAGCATAAAAGAGCTTAGTGCGTTTAAAAGTGACACAAGGTCAATGTGACTGGAATTTGGTGGAGCTTGGCATCATTTTAAGGTGGAGAGGATGGCAGAGGCTGGATTGTGCTGGGCCTTACAGGATCTAGTGATGAGCTGGCATTTTGTTCAAAGTGAAATAGAAACGTTCCTACCCCATATGGCACCTTTGGGCAAATTAGAAAAAGGCATCCATTCCTCAAGGCATTTCCATCTTGTTGGAAAATTGTTGTAAAAATACTCTTATTAGAACAAGGCACTTCACTGAAATCTGCCAGAGACTATTTGTAATAAGTATAAAATTCTCAATACTCCAATGTGAAAGGCACTCTTCCATAGGGTTATTCTACCATAACTTGTACCATGTATATGGCAGCCCTGGGGAGGAGTCATGGAAGGCTTTCTGCAGGGGAGTGACACAATCCTATGTGGTCCTGTGTGGAGGGGATAAGAGGAGAGGAAGAGTTTTTTGGAGGTAGATCTTACAATATTTTTGAAGCAAAGGGATTGGATGAAGGAGATGGAAAAGAGGATGAGATGGTGATGACTCATCAGGTTTGTAGATGGCAGTGCCGTTTCACTGAGCCCAACATGACTGGGAAAAACCAGGGTCTATAGGTGTGGGAGACAAAGACATCACGGAGTAATTAAAATCCAGGTATTTCCCATCTTCCCTTGAATGCTCTGTTTTCAACTAAAAGTTAACCAAACTCTTGTCTTTCCCAAAATAGATATCCTTGATAAACTTACCCATTAGAGTAAAGGACAATAACAAGACCTTTACCTTTCAGTCTTAAGAAATTGGATTAAACTCAAATTTTAACTAACATTCTCAAGTTCCTCTATGTTTTGGGCACTCTGCCATAGACTTTACACATGTTATCTTATTTCCTCCGCTCAGCAGTCCATGAGGTATTTCCTATTTTTATCTTCATTTTACTGAGCAGACATGAGTCTCAGAGAGCGATCTTATCACTTGATTTGAACAGGGTACCACAGTCACAGGTCCAAGTCAGGAGTTGATCATATTGCCTGAGTCCCTTGTTTTTTTCAGTTTTGTCAGTGCTATCCAATAGAACTTTCTGCAATGAGGGAAATATTTATCTGCTTTGTCCATGTGGCTATTAAGCACTTGAAATGTGGCTGGTGTGACTGAGGAACTGAATTTTTAATTTAAATAACTACACGTGGCTAGTGGCTATCGTATTTGTCAGTGCAGCTGTAGATCAATTATCTCCAAATCAGGGTGCACAGAGCCCAGGAAGGGTACAGAATATGCAGATTGTAGAAAGAAAATACACAAACACACGTTTTAAATCATCATTTCTGATTTTTTGTGTTTTGTAATGTACCTAATCTATTACGTATAATAGATATGTGTGTGTGTGTGTGTATATATATATATATATATATACACTATATATAAATTATATAGGGGCCATCCTTGTGGCATAGAGGTTAAGTTTGGCATGCTCCGCTTCAGTGGCCCAGGTTTGTGGGTTCAGATCCCAGGTGCAGACCTATACCACTTGTCAGCCATGCTGTGGCAGCAACCCACATATAAAGTGGAGGAAGACTGGCATACATGTTAACTCAGGGCTAATCTTCCTCAAGTAAAAAAAAAAAAACAGAAAAAGGAGGAAGATTGGCAACAGATGTTAGCTCAGGGTTAATCTTCCTCAGAAAAAGAAAATTATATACATGTACTGCATATATAAATTATATATAAAATACAATATATATAATATATAATTTTTACTTAACACTTATATGGCACTTACTAAGTGCCAGGTACTATGCTTTACAAATATTAACTCATTTAATCTTCACAGTGACTGTGGGGTAGATACTTTTATTAGTCTCATTTTACAAATGAAGAAACTAAGGCAATATTTGGATGTGTCTAAGGACACAGGCAGTTGGTGGTAAAGCCAAGATTTGAGTACAGTCACTTTGGCTTCTAACTCCAAGTGCTATAGGGTAAGCTAAACAAGTACACTAGGAGGAGAGAGAAGGCAAACATTTTCACTAATGGGTGAGTGGCCAAAAAATATTTGGTGATTAATAGTCTAGACTTTAACAACCAATAAGACATAGCAATTTCTAATCTCAAAATTTCAAGGGATTTTGGAGAATGATCAAGTCCATCCTTTTTCGCACTGAGATGATGCTCTGCATGTAGAGCAGGATGAGGCTGAATGAAGGTGGGGTAGGGCGATGGTTGAGACGAGTCCTGGGGACATTCGTACTCGTCTACAAAGACAACTATAGCCAACATATGTAAAGATTTGTGTGATTGTGATCCTGTAACTTTCCCCATTAAAAAAAAGTTCATCCTCGACAGTTTTGTTCTAGCTACTAATTTAAAGAAAAGATTTGTTTGTTTCTCAGACATTAAAATAGGGGAGGATGGGAGGCCGAAGACGTGGAGCGGGTAGAATCTCATACTGAAGAGCAGGTGGAAAGAAAGCAGGTCGGAACCAAGACTTGCTCATGGTCCCTGGGTGGATGCTAATTTACGTGCAGCTTGGTTGCTGGCGGCTCTAACTCAAGAGCAACCAAACAAAGGTAAAATATCCGTGAAATAATAGATCAACGGAGAAGGTAAAATTTACCCAAATCTAATTTCTATCTACATATTTTTTGTTTGATGCGAGTATGCCGTTCCCTCCCTACCTCATTCCTTGTCTTATCCTAGGCATCTTTGCTTTCTCTCCAGGTACCCACAGCACGCTTAGCAACCAGTTGCTGTGGTATAAACGAAAAAGGCAGATGTAATCTTACATATTATCTTACATTTTCCAGGTATGTGAAGTAGGTAGATGACGTTTTGTGTCGTCAGAGACAAGTTTTGGAAAGACCGGAGTTCTAAGGCCACTCACTTAGAAGAAATGGCTGTGCAGAGTACCTAGGGGTACGTATGTGTATTGCAGTCTCAGCACCCTCGGTTTCAAGAGGTAGAGGTTTTAGGGAAGCAAACTGAAGATGTGACGGGGAGGATCGCCATGGTAATCGGAAGCAGCAAACAAATGTCTGCCCAGACGCCTTTGGATACCTAAAGCCAAAGCCTTTCTTTCCTGGTTGCAGAAAGTTCTTGAGTGCCCTAGGGAGGCCCGTTCGGTGGTGGAGGAGAGGGTGCCCAGCCTTCCTTCCATTCTTCCAGTCTCCTGAAGAACTACGTAGAGAGATAAACAACCCTTTCCAAGAGCCTGTCCGCACCACACCGGTCAGGCAAGGCGTCCCACCTGCACCCACAGGGCTCCGAGACGCGCGCGCCCACACTGCGCGGAGGAACCAACCCCAGGCCCCGGCTGCCCAGGTGGGTGTGGCTCCACGGTGGCCCCGCCCCCTCGAGCGCGTCGCGCAGGGCGGCACGGGCGGGGCGAGGGAACCGGCAAGAAAGGGCGGGGCGCGAGCGGTGTGGGTGTGCTCGTGCCCGCGCGCTCGCGCCTGGCGTGTGGGCGGCGGCGCGCCCGTGCGCGCGCAGGGGAAAGGCCAGCCCAGGCGGCCGTTGCGGGGTTCGGCTGGAGGGGCGGGGGAGTCACCTGCGAGCGGCTGCGCCGGCCGGCCGCCCGTCCTTCGCGACCAGATCTGGCCGGCTGCGCGGTACCGCGCCGCACACACCCTGGGAGGCCGGGGCGGGGGAGCCGGCAGAGTCCGCGCCCGGCGCCCGGGACGAGGAGGAGTCGGACTTTCGTCGCCGCCGCCCGCGCCTGGCCGGGTAGGTGAAGCCCGGGTTGGTCGTCCGCCGGCCCCTGGCGGGCCGGGAGAGGAGAAGCGAAACTTTCCGGGCGCCTCCCCGCGCGGTCCCTGGGCCGTCGGCGCCGCGGGGGGGTGTCGTCGTCGCGGGCGGCGGCGGCCGACGCCATGTTGGGGTCTTTGAGAAACGGGGCGCTCTCGGGCCGCTCCCCTCGCGCTGGGCCGGCCCGCGGACGCCGGGAGCGAGCCGCGCCCGCCGCAGGACGCCGCCGCCGGCAGGCTCGGGGCCCCGAGGGTCCGTCCGCGCCGGCGCGTGGCGGGTCCGCGGGTCCGCGGGGCGGGGCCGGGCGGGCGAGCGAGAAGTTGCGGGGCTTGAGGCCAGGGTTCCCGTCCCGGCCGGTGGCGTCTTAGGGCCTCAACACGTTTCTGTCAGGAAAGTTTGCGGAGTCAGGGCGTCAGGGACGTTGTAACTTGAATAGAATATTTTTGTGTAACTTGCGGCAAAAAAATGGCACCGTAGAATTTGCTCTGATAGGCGATGGCTCTTACACATTATTTATTTGCAGTCTTTTAAAGTTTCAGGGTCTTTTGCCGAATTCTCTCTTCCTTTTTAAAATCTTATGGAAGGCCGAGAGCTTGCTGCTCCTGGTCCTTGAACACCCTTGTGTGCTCTTAGTACATTTGACCAGTCGCTTGTGTGTGCGCGCGATGGAAATGAGCAGCAGTAAGGTTACGGAGAACTAAGCCTTCCTGTGTAATCATAGACTCACAAAGTGTGGAAGCTGATAAATGCCTTCTTTGTTGTGTTTTAGTACGTTACTGAAGAGACTCATTAAAGAAAGAGTTAGACACGGACGTTCAGTGAGAGCCTGAAAGGCATGTGTTGTTTTCTTAGGAATAAGGTGAAGTGATCTTGACATTGCGAAGTTTTTTTCCCCTCCCTTTGCTTCCTTAAAGGTGCATGCCTACCGTGTTTTGAGCTTTTACCTTTTTCTGTACTTTGGTAGCTCATGGGGTCCTCAGGTTAATTCAGTATTAACGAAGGCTTCTATTTTTAATCTCTTCGGGTCCTGACAGCACTGGAGAGGTGAATGGTATTAAGTTACTTATTTGGAAAGCACATAATCACCTCAAAAAGTAAAACTGCTGTACTGACCAAGGCATCAAAAAAAGGTTCATTCAGCTTGAATTACCCCAGTAAATGAATATATATTTCTATTTTTTGATAAAGACATCGAAGCTTTAAAATTCTGTTAAGTGAACTGGAAGGACTCTTAACCACAAATAAGGTAAACCCTAAAACGTGTTTTGGAGAATTTCTCTTCTTAATGTATAGGTAAAAATAGAGCTTATGCTCAGATTTGATTGCTAATTTCCTTAATTCTTAAAAAAATTCTTTGTGTTTTCTTCATTGTCAAGTAAACGCCATTATATGTATTTTGTTTTTCTGGGTGAAGAGTTATGGAGAAATGAGGATGACAACTAATTTCACAAATCTAGCAGCCAAGCTGGTGTTTCACTGAGGTCGTATGACTGAAGCCTTCTCGTTTTTCCTGTAGCATAACTTTCTAGGATACGTAACTCGTTTCTGTGGAGCAGTCTCTGCCATCTTGTTTCCTCTGCCTTTGCTGCTCTTTCCTTTAATTTAGTTCCTCAGTATACTTATTTCTTAGCTGCTTTTCAAAGGTTCTTGTACTGAAATTTTTCCCCTTAAAAATACTAACTTAAGCTAACTGGACTCTTTGAAGCCTTTTCTGCCCTGTTCTCCTTCCCTACCCTCTTTTTCTCCCCAAGAATGAATGAATTCACTTCTCCCATGGCATCTCCATAAATATTACATTAATCTGCCATGGCACCTCCTTGACAGCAGGCATTGCATTGGGTCTGATTTGCCTCTCCCTCCCCAGTGTGGATGAATACACATATGTTCCTTGTAAATATACTTAACGAATATCTTACTAAATTGCAATTTCCATGGGCATAGTAGTTAAATCTTCTCTAATCTTTTTTTTTTTTTCTTTTTGAGATTTTACCCAGGTAACTCAATAAATTTTGGCCTGGGGATACAGAACTTGGATGTTTATGAAATTTACAAGTAGTTAATGGACTGAAGTATAATAAACCAAGAAGCTGCAGCTGTGGTTCAACAAAAGGATAATAATCATAATTTTAAAGTGCAATTGAATTTATTTTCACTGGGTGGAAAAGGAGTTAATGCCTGAAAATTTTGAAGGTCATGTTTATACATTTAAGCTCTTTGATAGAGCAAATCTCATTTCTTTATCAATTATTGTTTTGTCAGGATTGTCTTAGAATTTTGTTTTAGAATGTCTTGCTTAATGGAAAGCATGTAAAAATTGTAGTTTATCTTTGAGAACCAGCTTTGTACACCAGCTGCAGGTTTCATAGCAATGTGCATGTTGGCTTAATCAAATAAAATATATTTCATAGACATGCTTTCAGAGTGCTATTTTGAGTTGCAAGACCTCTAGGTGAAGGTGTTCTGTCATTCTCTAATGAAGTTATTGTAGAATTTGTGGTTAATTCTCTGCCCAAGATGACTTTCTTGTCAGTCACTCCATAAGCTACAAACTGCTTGTCCTGAGAAGATAGTAGAAGGCATTCAAGTAGTTGCTGTGAGTGCTACAGAAAGCAAGTTGCATGTAGGGTGGACTGGAACAAAAAAGAACCATCCCGAATCCTAGCTCTGCTCCTTACTAGCATGTGACTGTTGAACAAGTTGCTTCACTCCTCTGAGCTTCACTGGACTTATTTGTGAAATGAACACAGAAATATTTGCCTTATAGTGTTGTGAGGATTTACTAACATGTTTGTGGAAGTGCCTGGTGCATGCTATTCAGTATATTACATTAACCAATGAAGAGAGTGTCAGTGAATTACATAGAATCATAGAATTTTAAAAGGGAGGCAGCCTTTAGAAATACCTACTTCAGTTGTCAACCTTGGCTACTCGTTATTCCCTGAGGAGCTTTTTAAAAATACTGATGCCTGAACCCCACCCTAGAACAAATAAGTCGGAATTACCGGGTTTGGGGTCAAGGCATAGGTTGTTTTGCCTGTTTTATGTTTTTTTTTAAGCACCGATGATTTTAATTTGCAGTCAGGGTTGAGAACCATTAGTTGAATCACCCATTTCCTTATTCTCTTCATTTTGTGGTTGAATAAAGTGCAGAGAGAGGTTAAGTGCCAGCTGAATTCCTGTCAGTCAGGCTAGAAAGGATGTGTTTGCAGTGCAGGAAAGTGAAGAGGTTAAAGTTACATTTGTTTCAGACCAGAAAGGCGGCATTTCAAACTCTCTGACCTTCATCTCCATTCTCCATCAAAAGCTACGTGGATGACCATGTTCTTTAACCTCATTGTCATTCAGAACTACCTCAAATCTTAACTCTGTGGCCAGAGATGGTGATTCAAGGGCCTATTTTCCCTTTTCCCTGATGAACCAACTTTTTGTCCTCGTTGCCACCTCCAGTCCCTCCCAGGCTGTTAGTTTTCTTTCTTCTTTCCAATCCTGAACTCTATAGTTCATATGCTAACTATGAACTCACTAACACTACATAGTCCTCCTCTCCGTAACCTTTGCTGTATATAACTGGTTAATTTTCAACTTGTAAATATGACCATTTACTTTTTCTGCTTCTGTCCCTGCCTAGCACCCCTGAAAAGAGTCACAGCTGTGGTGACTGTTAAATATTTGTTTTCCAGCTGCCTGTGTACGAGTTGCTTCTAATCCTTTTCTCATCCCAAAGTTGACTTGTTTTCCCCTTTGCTTTTTTTTTTTTTTCTTCTTAAATGTATGCTCCCAAGAGGCCTGGGGATGCATTTTTTTTTTAAGATTTTATTTTTCCCTTTTCTCCCCAAACCTGCCTGGTACATAGTTATGTATTTTAGTTGTGGGTCCTTCTAGTTGTAGCATGTGGAATGCCGCCTCAGCGTGGCCTGGTGAGCAGTGCCGTGTCCGCGCCCAGGATCCGAACTGGTGAAACCCTGGGCTGCCGAAGTGGAGCATGTAAACTCAACCACTTGGCCAGGGGGCCAGCCCCAGAATTTTCTGTTTTCTTCTTTCAATTTTTTCATCTTTTTTTCCTTTCCATTTTCATAAGTGAAGCTGTCCTTAATTCTTTATATTTGTTTCATTTAAGCAATAGTTGGGGAAAAATCAGAAAGATTTTTATATTCTTATTTCTGTTGTATCTATAACTTTGTATTTACTTGTTACACATATTTTTCTAAACATTCTTTTTTGCATTTTATCACTGAATTAAAAAGCTTTTTTCTTTGTCTATGAGAGAATGTGTTTATTATAAAATAATAGTTTAATAGGCAGTATTAAACTATTTCACCTTAGTACTTAGAGACAACCAGTACTGAATTTTTAGTGTATATCTTTCCAGACTTAAAAAAAAAGGCTTATATTGTATGTGCTGTTTAGAAAGCTTATTTTAATAGACTACCTTAACAATTTTCCACATTAAATATTAATCTTTGTTCTCTCAAAAACTGTATAAAAAGCCATGATTTGTTTATGTCATAATTTATTGAATCAGTCTCCTATTATTGAACATTTAAGTTGTTTCTGGCTTTTCAACATTATAGACAAAGCTATAGTGAACTCCTCTATGTGAACAACTTTGTACACTGGTCTAATTATTTTTTGCGTATGTACTTGGACATAGAATTGTTGTGCAAACTTTCTGAAGCACTTGTATTGCCAAATGGCATTTAGAAAAGTTGTTCTTTTCCCTCAAGGATATTAGTGCCCATTTTCCCCACATCTTGGAGAGGTGAATGATACATTATTTTAATTTTAATTTGTTTGATTAGCACTGAGAGCCAACATTTTTCTATTTACTGGTCATTTTCATTTGTTCTTTTGGAAATTGCCATTTGTATTTTACCAGTTTTTCTTTTAGCATATTTTCTTTTTTTCTTATTGATTTATAGGAGCCTTTATAACGTTAAAAATGTTGACCTTTTGTCATATGTTGTGTCTTTTTTAACTTTAATGCTTTTTCCCTCAGTGTTGAAGTTTAAAACTTTTATTTAGTAAAATGTTTTCTTTTACGACATTTGGCTTTTTCATTTTATATTTAGTGATTCCTCTCTATGGCTAGAAATTTAGATGCTTTTTTTCACTATTACAGTTAATGCCAGAGAGAAAACTTTTGTACAGCAGCTCCCCCACCCCCTAATAGTTTTTATTTCTCAGGATAAATTTCTGTGGTTAAAAATTCCAGAGTCAAAGGTCAATGCTTTCTGAAATATTTTATTATTTTTATATTACCATTAGTCCTCAGTTTTTCCACGTGTTTCACTGCTTATTGTGACCATTTGGCACCATAAGGTTATTGAGTCTCTGAGACCGGTGAAACATGTGAAAGCACGTTG